TTTATTTGTGTTTAAATAAGTCTGCTTCCTACATCTGCACGTTGGCATTATGTAGCTCTTAACGTTTACGCAAAGCGCTCTTATTATTTTAACTTTTGACAATATTGTTCCGGTACTTATTCCTTATCAAATTCTGTTCTGAGATAACCAGGTCAGTAGAACACCTGAGAGCTAAGTCTGTTTCGTAAGTCTGGTGGTTCTTTTCTCTTGTGTATTAGGAGCATCGCAAAAGATCAATCCCAAGAAACACTTGGAACCTTCTGCTAGATTTTGGAAATGTGGCTGCAGATGACGTGTCCAGCTGTGATGAAGAAGGTACGAGAAGCAGTCGGACTTCAGGCGATGGCCAGAGGCACTGACGCGGGCACGCACGTCCCTGGCCCCGGACCACGGGTCAGCGATGGCAGCGCAGGCCCCGGGGCGGACGGCACCTGCTGACTCCTGGCCCGACCCCGGCCAGAGACGGGGGTGGCGATCATAGTGACTAGTAGTCACTTTATCTTGTAAATCACACAAAAGAAAATACAGCTTCACATTTAGCTAAAGTCAGGAAGACAGTTGTCTGAGCTAAAAGCCATTACAGAGTGGATGTGCAGAGGCCCTGAGGCAGACCTCAAGCAGGACAGTCACCGGGGCCCACTGCCCCGCGTGTGGCTGCAGCGGCTATTCCATCGCACTGCCGAAGCTCACGGAAGACTGCGGCCTCCATCTGCTCACCTGAGCACGATCACGCCTGCTGCGGCCCCCACCCCAAACATTTCAGGACTCGGGGAGTGTTTGCCTGCCTGCTGAGCTGTGGGCACTGCCCCGTTAGGGAAGGATGCCCACCCCCACCCCGGCCCCGCCCACCGTCAGCTCCCTCTGCCCGGCCAGAAGGTGACTGTGCACATTCCTGGCAGGGTCAAGGGTGGGCGGTCCTCACAGGGCCCGGTCCACAGAAGCACACCAGCACTTGCCAACCCTGGTCTGGCTAGAGCAGAAGAGGGTCACTTTAGCCGACTCTTTAAGTGGAGCACAGGCTATAGAAAGTTAAAATCATTTGAGTTCTTGAAATATAAAAGTTGGATTGTGAAAAAATGCTTTGAATATAAAAATATTGCTCTAAATCGTTGATTTTTTTAAAAAATCTATTTGCTTTCCTTCAGGAGCGTGGCCTGTTCTTATAGATGATTTCATAGGATATGCACGGCCAGTGGTCACAGGTGGTTAAGGCAGCCCTCTCTAGGCAGAAAATCGAGATGGATTAAGGTGAAAAGGGAACTGTCCTGCAGGAGACACTGGCCAGCCATGCCTGTTGCCCATTTTGGAAGTCATCCTGACCAGTCGTGAGACTGGAGACCCTCTCCTGCTGCTTAGAGAGACGCCGCTGACCGTGGACGCCACACGGAGACCCTCTGAGCTCGCTGCTGGGGCGCCCAGAGACGGGGCCCTGGCTGTTGCTGTAAGAGACCTCTGCATGGTTTCCGCGTTTAGGAGCAGGCTGCAGGGTCGCTGTTGATCATGACCCAAAGCGAGGCTGTGCTCACCACACTCGCCCAATTGTCCGTAACCACCCCTGAGAAACAGTACAGGTCAGGCTGCTGGAAACGTGCCCTAAAGAGGACGATTATCGTGGATGCTGACGTTTTAAACTTGGTGCCAAGGTTAAGATTTATATTTTTTGAATCATCAAGTGTCTAGATTTATCAGCTCTATTTTCATTTCACTTTTCTCTGGATGGTCATCTGGGAATCATTTTACAGGTTAACGCACCGTTGCGGTTTGCACAGCGATGGTCATCATGATTCCAGAAAAGTGTTCTTTTAAATTGCCTGCAGGTCAGTGGGTCTGCTTTACTTCTGATAATGTCAGCTGAACTTCCTAAGAAGCTTCATAAAGTATGCTTTTTAAAAAAATGTATTTGAGGGCTTCCCTGGTGGCGCAGTGGTTGAGAGTCCGCCTGCCGGTGCAGGGGACACGGGTTCGTGCCCTGGTCCGAGAAGATCCCACATGCCGTGGAGCGGCTGGGCCCATGAGCCATGGCCGCTGAGCCTGTGCGTCCGGAGCCTGTGCTCCGCAACGGGAGAGGCCACAGCAGTGAGAGGCCCACATACCGCAAAAAGGAAAAAAAAAAATGTATTTAAAAGGACATTTTTCCATGAAAAATTATTTCTTTCATGATAAATTATAGATTTAAACATCAGCGTTCTCTCTTTTCAGCCGTCTGTAATATGAGTACTGTTCACCCACCCGCCCTCGTATGGTTGTCACATTTGGGAGGTAAAATACACATTGTTGTCCCCAAAACCCCACACCGGAAGCCATGTCACGTGCAGGTGGACATGTGTGTCTGCGTCTCATTGCCCGGCCTCCTGGTGCCCCCCTGTCGGGGGGACGCTGTCCAGAATCGCTGTGTGGACCTCACCTCGTACTGGGAACGATCTTCATGCCACAGGTGTGCTTGCTGCCCAGCCCGCAACCCTGTTCGTGAGACAGATAAATCGGGGTAATTTCACAGGAGAGGGGAATTCACTCAGATTTCCAGAAAGTGTGCCTAAAATGTGTAGTTGGTTTGGCGTTCAAAAATGTGACCCACTCAGGCCTGGGGCCTGGAGACCCAGTCTGGGCGGGGTCGGCCCGTCACAAGGTGCAGGGCCAGGGAAGTCACCTGATCTCTCCCAGGCCCTGCTGCCCCGTCCTCTACCTGTAAGACTGGGGTTCTAAGAGGCTTTAATAGAAACTTCACCAATCGTAATGCGTCCTTCGAGGCCTCGCGGGTTCTGACATGTAAGAGTTCTGTTCAGAGAGGTTATGGAACTCGGACGGGCCTGTGAGAATCATGAGGTCTGTGGCACTGTTTCACTCTTGAGATTTAAAGTTATGTGGAGAAAAGGTGTTCTGTGGAGTTGTTTATCAACAGATACCAAAACATCGGTGCCAAAGGCTCTTCCAACACTTGTAGGTTTCCCTTCTATAATAAACGTTTAACTCATGCGTGCTGTGAAAGTGCTGAGGACTCTGGAAACAGTAAAATTCTCTTCCTGGTGTCATGGTGCCTTTCAGGTCTGTCCTTGGACACTCGGCCCTGGATGTCAGGGTCCTGGTCCCACGTCAGGGGAGTGGCCACCACACTTGGGACCCTCCCAACCTGTGTCCAGCCTGCCACCTTGTTACAGGATCACGTCCCACACGGACGGCCTGGGTCACATACTTTCCTTTCTAGGTATCACGTAGTATCTGCTAAATACACCTGTTCCACATGGGCGGTCACAGATCTCATAATACAGAAATTTCCTTGAACTGACGGGAGTTACGTACCTAACTGATCCACTGAAACGCAAACTATAAATACAGTGGAGACATGCGGATTAAACAAATGTGAGAGGTTTAACACACGTGGGCTCCCCGTGCCTGCCGGGAGTTCCTGGGCTGGACAGCATCACCTCCTTCCGTGTTGGTGACATCGCACATGTCAGTGTGTTCTTTTACCTTAGTAAACGCTTAAGTGGGATGCTACATATGTCTCCAGCTCCAGGCTCTGTGGGGACAGCCACACCCACGACTCATGGCACACGGCCGGGGCTCGGCAAACACTGCAGGAACAATGCAGTGGGCTCGCCTCACCTCTTCCTCTCGCTGGCGTCCGCCAGATAGTGTGGGATTGCTCTTAGCGTCTCGACAACAGTGTCTGCTGCCTCAGATTCAGCAAGAGACCAGCCGAAGACGGTGCCTCTGCCTCAGTGACAAACGGCTTCCGCCACATGCTGCCCTTCTCCCCACGTGGGTGGCTGGCTGAGGGGCTGCCCTCGGGGAGGGAGCCTGCACCCTAGCAGCCCGGGCCACCGGCACTGGTCGTAAAGAACTGCTTTCAGGACCTCTCAGGACTGTGCCGGCCGGAGTCGGGATCCAGATCCTCACTTTTAATAAGTGCTGTGATGATATACTACCCATTCATTTACCTTTTCTTTTTTTTTCTTGCCACGCCACGCGGCGTGCGGGATCTCAATTCCCCGACCAGGGATCGAACCCGTGTAGAGTTGTAACCACCGGACTGCCAGGGAAGTGCGACCCGTTCATTTAAAGGCATCTTAGTATCTTGTTATCGAAAGAAACTTAAGTTTTATCGGACGTGTTTCTTACATCCCAGCGTGACGCCCTCCTGCTTGTCCTGGTCTGACGTGGGACCAGAACCTGGGGGACAGGGGGCCTGGGGACAGAGGTGGTAGCTCTCCTGACCCCTCTTTTCAAGTCAAGGTCCCTGGTTTGCAGGGGTTCCCCCCACTCTCAGCCTCAGCACGACCGTAAACATCCTCCCCGCGGAACGGGATGGGTGGGAGGACGCTTAAGGTGCGTGAGCCTTCACGGGGCGCCCTCGCCGACCCCTCGGGGCTCCGGGCTCTGTGCACACAAGGAGCTGCCGGGACGCTGGCTGTCGGGGAGCCTTCGCTGACGCTGGGCCGCAGGGACGCCCGTGATCACGCACGCGGCGGCTCCACGTGCTTTCCCCCTTCGCACGTGGCAGTTTTCTACCATAAACAAGCTTGATAATCAACGAGTCCTCCGGAAAACAGAGCCGTGCGTGTGACAGCCGAGTCACAGCGTGCAGGCCGCCGAGCGCGATCCCGTGTAATTGAAAGTCCCGGAAAGGCAGAGCCACAGAGACCAAGTGGGTGGGTGGAGGCCCAGGGAGCAGAGGGGCCGCGGCTTGGGCGGGCTCTCCGCCTGGGCCCCGGGGAAGGTTGACGCACGCCGCGTGACTGGACCGAACGCAGTGAGCCCCCGACGGTGCGCGAATTACACCTGGAAGCTCTAGAAACGTGTGCATCTGCCCAGCGCGCCGTGCAGACCTCCCTCCGAAGCGGTGCTCTGAGCCGCGGGTGCCCCCACTGAAGAGCCAGCTCTGGGCGCACCACGTGGCTGCGGGCTGCAGGCCCAGACGGCTCCCTCATTGGTGCCGCCCGCCCGCCCGGGACAGAAGAGGGCGCCTGGCCGATCGGGGAGGCTCCCGACGGCGACGCGGCGACCAGAACAGGGGCCGGCGGGGCGGGCTGAAGGCTGGGCACCCGGCAGCTGCCGGCAGAGATGGAGAAGTTTCAGGCTGCGATGCTGCTGGGGGCCGTGGGCGATGCACTCGGGCACGGACACGCCTTCAGGGAGGACAGCGCCTCGGGCCCCAAGGTCCAGAAGGAGCCGGGAAAGGTGGGGGGACTGGACCACCTGGTGCTCTCGCCAGAGAGGTGGCCGGTGAGCGACAACACCGTCATGCACATGGCGACGGCAGGGGCCCTGGTCACAGGTGAGGCTCAGCCCCGGCGTGGCGGCGGGCGGGAGCGCGGGATCCCGCGGGGAGGGGGGACCCGGGGGTCACCCGCTGCCGCTGCTGAAACCAGCTTGTCACACCCGGGTCCCCAGCAAACCGGACGTGCCGCGGGCTGTGTTCCCACGCAGCCTCTCGAGTGACAGTATCACTCTCTGCTCATCTGCAGCCTCAGGTTCTTAAACTGGGACTTTCACTGTTTTGTAAACGCTCACTCGGCCGAGCCTCTGCCTCTAGAGTTAAAACCAACCGAATGGCTCGCTTCGGGCTTTGGAATGAGGGCTCAGCTTTTCACTGCAGGTAGTAAGCCTGCTTCTGAGTTTATTTCAACAATACATAAAATAATAAGCCAGTTTGAAGTTTGGACCCATTACGATGATATTTGGAGGGAATTACTTCTAAATTCCAATGAACTGTGGTTAAAACGCCACCTACCAAAATAGGATTTAGCTCGGAGAGTTGCTGCGGTTTCCTAGTTGTCCTAAGAAGATGCTGTGACTTGAGGGGAGACACGCTTCCTTAAGGAGCAGGTTGATTTTAGGAGCAAGTCTTCACTGAGTTTCAGAGGAGCAGTGGGTGTCTGTGAGGTGCGGCTTCCGCACAGCTATCGAGGGGTGAGCACATCACTGCAAAATCAGAACTTGCGGCAGCTCTGAAGTGGCTGGAACGTACGTGTCACCATGTGCTCACCCCGCGGGCCGGTGCCAGCAGCCGGGTTTAGCTCTGCTGTCACCGCACAG